CCCCCCCCCCCCCCCCCCCCCCCATCTCCTTTTTCCACGCATTTTCTCCACTCTCACCCATTTTTTTGTTTTATCCAAATGATAAGTATGCGGATGGAGGCTACGATATGCAAAAACCATACCAACTGGTTCTTCCACATCTTTTGCATCCAAGAGGCGTTTCGGCGATCTTCGTACAAGTTCATTTAGCGCACGAAGTGCATGCTCACTCGAAGTACTTTCGTGCCTGTAAAACACAATATAATTTACCACAGTTAATTTCACATTTCATGCATTTTCTGCACAACTCGTGCCTATGGCGATCTAAGCCAGGACACTTGCTGATTTCTTTGCCCCGGCTGGGCAATTTCGCTCTCCTTGCTCATCACATTACTGTAGGCGGTAGGCTCGGGTAGGGCTTTGGAGTCCTATTTGCAAAAAATTGGTGTTTCCCCTACAATCCTCGGAATGCGCACAGCAAAATCGCATAATTCAGCAAAATTTACCCAAGGAATAATGCTTCCATTTTTGGTCTAAAAGTCAAACAAAATTTGAACAGACAGCTTAAACCGAGACAATAGCTTGCTCACTCTTACTTAATCAGCCCATTATCCTCATAGGCGAATCCAGGGTGGCTTCCTGGAGGGAAAGGGTTTACTGGTGCGGCAGCTAGCAGGGAGGGAGAGGGAGCGAGAAGGGAGAGTGAAACTCCTGAAAGGGCAGGGGAGGGAGAGGGGAGGACGATGAACGGTGCGGAAGAGAATTTCCCTTAGTTCTAGCTTTAAGCCTGAACTTTTATAACACTACTGCCTGTGCCGCTGGGGGAGGGGGAAGGGCAGAGGAGAGGGGATGGGGCGAAAAATCCATCACACCTCCTTCTTCTTGGACCTGCCTATAGCAGTTAGAGGATAATGCCAAAACAAATGTCCACGATAGCACAACAATTTGGGCATATCTATTTCGTCCCTAACGATTCTACAGATGCTCAAAATGCTGCACCGATATTCTACCAGATGTGGCTGACAGACTGAGCAAATCGAGTTTAGCATGAGAAACTTCCCGTTCTTCGTAAACTCATATATCCTAATGAGAAAATTTGAAAACTCGGTCTCAACTTGATCACTTTCAGCTCAATCGTCAAGGAAGAGCTCGTTACACAAAGAATCTAATTTGCCGATCACTTTTATGAGAGTACATTTCACGTTTTTTATGTAAACTAACTGTGGCATTCAGGCCGACCCTGGCGAAGATGCAATAGATTACAGCATGAGAGAACAGTACAAGAGAAGAGTGAGGTAAGACATTTCGGTCCATTAAGTCATATACGCCTTAACTCAATACAGCGGTAGAACCTTATCACAACGACGAACGTAATGCTTAATGGAAAAGGAAACGAGAAAAGCGAGAGCAAGAAGCAGAAGGAGAAACGATATGATGGCGGGATTAAATGGACTATGAGTGAGGCGAAGAGGGGAAGAAAAAGGAAAAGGAAGAAAAAGACTTCAAAAGTTTTTTAAAAAAATTTTTAAAAAAAGATTTGAAAAAAAGACCAATAGCGAAAGATCAGTATCTGCTGAAGGAATGACTGAAAGAGACAACAAACCGATGCTGCTCCTCCGGAAAATCAGCTTCGAGCTGGCCACCAAAATCAACCGCAATATCACCAAGTTCCATCGCAAAATCATCAAAATCCATTGTTTATTCCTAAATGCAACTGAATACCAGTGCACTGTATACGTAGCATCCTAAGTACATAGCTGGAGGTGTGCCCTTACCAAGTCTAGTAATTCTCCAGGTTTTTGCACACCGGATTTTTCTGGATGTCTTGGAAGTGGAATGCATCCAAAAAACAGGTTTACTAACATATGAAATCGAAGAAATACAGACAGCGCAGCAATGGCACCATATGCCAACGCATTACAAACACTGTAAAACGAAAAAAAAAAAGCAAGGGGCTATGAGCGGGGTAAGGGGAACGGCGGGCAAGGGGGGAGGAGGTGTTCAAGGTGTAAAAAGAGGGCGATGCAGCAAAACTATTATAAAACGATATAAATTGTGAAATGTGACGAAATGTGAAAATGGCTTCACAAGACACAATACACTGGTGACCTTCAGGTGTATCGTGACAAGCAGTCCACCAGTCAACAGCACCTAAGCTGCTGGCCATCGATCGTAAGCACGGGCACATCCACAACTCGATGTTGGTCCACCACTGCCACTGCGTAATGCCCTAATTAGCAACAAAACAGCCAACCCGAATAAAAGCTCCCCTGAAGTGCAGTAGCTGACCCCGATGGACAATCTGTGAAAGCATCTGCGGGTAACCGGAATAAACTCAGCACAACACCATGCATTGGAAGCCTGTTACAGAAAATTTGTCGAGAAATCACGAGAACTTTTCATGGGATTCAGAGAGAGATAACCCAAAGAGTGCGAGTCCCATCAAAAATGCATCGTAATTTGCGCCCAAAAAAGATGAGCTGTCCTCGCACACGTCACTCTGACTATCCACTGTTGGTCACTAATTTAATGAACTCATACCAACCTCTCCTCTCTCTCCCCCTCCCCCTCCATTTCCTTGCTTCGCTTTCCCGAAGACATTATCCGAGTGGTTGTTCTCGTTCTCGAACAATTACAGCACAACTGACAGGACACTGTGGGGGGCAAGTTATGTGTTTATCATCAAAGATATAAACAGAAGTTACAAAAGTTCTGACGAAGCCGCATGAAAGCAATTCACACGCAACATATATATGTTTTAACAAAATACAGCAGCTGTTCATGATGCAACTGAACATTATTACCATCATTATCATTACCATCATCAAAATACACCAACGGATAACATGTATTGTGTGTGCGTGTATGTGTGTGTTGTGTTACAAGAAAAAAAAAAGCAAAAATAGTAAAAAAATTGAAAATTGTAAAAAAAAGTAAAAATAATAAGGCAAATACGGTGCCCCACATCTAATAACAAATTGAAATAAAAGGGAAAATAGGACACCGAAACATGAATACAAAATAATCAATCCCCCACATACAAAATCCCCTGTTTCTATGGAAAGGCTAGGAACAGGCAACTTCGCGTGAAAAGCGAATGCCTCGAAGTGTAGGGAAAATGAGAACCTGGAACAAACGTATCCCATCAAATTTGTACAATACGAACAATTTCTGTAACTGTTAACCACTAGAGGCCGACCAAAACGAACAGTCGTTACAACGTACAAAACGCAGTTGCCTTGCGTATAGCATATCACCGTCATCTTTACCATCATTGATCATCATCCCGTGGGAGATCACTGAGCAAACATTTCTTTGAACAATAATAAAAAACAAGACAGAAAAAAAGAAGCGTTGTTAAGTTAGGGAATCGCGCATGACATCTCTTAATCGCCGATGGAGGGAGTCGTTAGGGAACGTTAACGTCGATCTGGTTCACTTGGTTGCCTATAATCACCGCCACCGCCGCCGCCACCACCGTTGTGCTGTCGCGCATGCAGTGCGCGATGTCCACGCCCAATGCGCACACCAATTCCACTGCGAGGCAATCCTAAATTGGTCTGTTATCATAAAGCACTCGATAACTTAAGATCACCACTAATTTCATTATGCTAGAAAAGAGATACATAATGCCATAGGCGGATCCAACGAGGGAGAGGGAAGGAAGGGTATTTCACCCCCTCCCTTAGTGGCACAGGCACAAATGCTGCAAAAGTCCGGGTCTGAAGCTAAAACTAAACTAGAGCCTAAAGTAACTCTACACTAAGACAACTCCAAATAGCAGTGCTACACCTTTATTCCTAGTTTTTGCATAGTTCCAGGGCGGGAGGAGATTCTACTCCCCATCCCCTCCCCTCGCCGTCCACCCCTCCCTTCAGGAGTCCGTCCTAGATTCGCCTATGCATGGTGTGCGCTCTTTTTCCATGAACAATTCATGCTGTTGCTCAGGGGCTAATTCTGGAGTTCTTCCATTTACTTCCATACCAGCAAACAAGCAACAACGACAAACGACGCTCCGCGAAATAAACCATAGCTCAATCAAAAAGCCATTTTGTCTCGCACAAACCCTGTTTTAAGATTGAACGCACAGCCAGCCGCTTCAAACATGATTGCAGAACACTGTTGTACTTGATCCACGTCAAAAAGCCTACACTTCGCATGATAAAAATTTTAAGAAAGGCATTATTTTCTACACCTAAACGGGTACCTTTATCACTGAAATTTTCCGCAAAAACCTTTTCTGACGCTAACAAAGACTGTAGCAGAGCAATTATCAGATATGTGAGAAACCGCTGCGCATAGATACTTTTTTTTTTTGAGGAACGGGCTAATTTATTCCTCTAAACGCTACACTCAGTGAGGTGTAACAACAAAGTTCTCGTGAACGCACACATACTCAAAATCGTCTCATATCGCTCCTGGCTGCATGGCTCATATCGCTCCAATGCGTGCAGTGCTGACAAGAGCTCATCCCCAGAACTGCTACTGCTATCAGTCAGCCTTGTTCATTGATCCTCAAAAAAAAAAAAAAAAAAAAAAAA